CATCTGGTGCTGGAGACAGGATACTAGACTAAATAGACCATGGATCTGATCCATTATGGCAGCTCCCTTGTTTCCCATCCTGTCGCAAGTATTCACACGAGTAATTTCGAGGCGGACGAACGGTCCCATTGATTTCAATAGGAATAAATCTGGAGCGCGGGTGCATGAGAGAGAAAGGCAGGGCACACGGAAGTACACGTGAGTTCAAGTCTGTGTGCGAGCACGTGTGTGCTGAAAGTCTGTTGGTATGAGACATCAGCCATATGTATCAGAACATAGCCAACTGCCTCCCGTATCCTCAAACCAAATGCATGCGAAGAACAAACAGCCTGCCGCAAAACCCATGCAGACTCCTCGAGCAATAGACCCGGGGTCAAGGATCAAAAGAAAAATATGCAACTGCCCTGAAAACTCCAAATCATAGAAAACCTAATTATATGGGTTTCTGAACCAACGCAGTGCCAGCAGGCAAGTGACATAACGCTGCTGCATGCTTAAAAGAGCAAAGCAATCCCTAACCACGAACCCAACGAGAAAGGGGAAAGGAAAGGGAATCGACAGACAGAAAACAGAGGAGCTCTCACTTGAAGTTAGCACCCCTCATGCTTACCCCGAAACTCTGCAGAGCAGCTCTTTGACAGGAAAAAGGTCCAGAGCAATCTTCAGACACGCTAACTCAGGACACCACTTGGCCCAGATCAGCCAGTGGAGATTTTGTTTATGTCAGTGCGAGCCCCCGGGACTTTCCACCAGGGCAAGAGCGCTGCCCATGCCCTGCCATTGCAAAGTCAGGGAAAAGGGCAAATTCCTTTGCAAGGAGAGTGGCCAGGTCATTACGTTTGCACCAACACCAGCAAACCGCAGGTGCCCCAGTGACAAGAACGGCATGTTGGGTTGGGAGCGCTGTCGAAACAAGCTGGACTGTTTGGCCTTTTGAGAAGTGACTAACTGTGTTTTTGACCTGCAGAAGCTCAACCACAGAGGATAGAAACAAAGCAAAGGGAGGAGGGGGGACTGTTTTCTGCTTCATATTAAAAAAAAAAAAAGCTTTTCCAACTCACCTGGGACTGAATCTGAAATGTCTATCAACTGGAACGAACAAGAAAGCCAAGGACACTGCCTGCCTGGACTCACTGGCCAAAAAACCCAAACTTGCACACAGCCTCTAGGCAAGGAAAGGCACTAAAATGGAGCATCATCTCAGCCTGACCCTCTCCTGTATATACCTCAGGGATTTACCCGCTCTTCTGGAGCAGCTCCCCAACCCAGGAGTTGTAGGGAATATCACAGAAGAGAAAATGTGCCTAAAAGGATGCAGATGTCCCTGGATACGCCGTCTCCCACGCAGCACCATCTGCGCAGTGCCATCTGGCGAGTCCGAACCATGTTGCAGTCTCCAAAGGAAATTGCAGCTACCAGAAATGTTCTGCAGCCGGCAACACCTGGGCTGGCATCCTGGAGGGAGGTGGGACAAAAGCAAACATCAAGATACTTGCCAGCTAGAGGGGAGAAACCGAACACAGGCTGAAGGATAAATATGGGGCAGGCTCTCAGAACCAGGAAATGTACTTAAAAATTGTTGTTTTTTTTCTTAAGAACCCCCCCCCCACCAAAAATAATACATTATGGATGCATTTATTTGCCTTTGGGGTCATCAGCCTTTTGGCTACCCTTGGGCTATATTTTTTTATTTCTTCTCTGCAACCATGGAGGATAGAAACATGCGTTTTAAAATGAAAGCTGGATTTCCTGGGTCATTTTTTTGTTTCCCAGGCCTGGAGTTGTAGCTAAAGCACCAAAAATCATAAGAAATCAGAACTTCTGGTAGAGGTGATCTCTTTTATTAGACTGACTAGATAGTTGCAAAGAACTGTCTTTATTTGCAAGCTTTTTTTTGCAAAAAAAAAAAAAAAAAAAAATATATATATATATATTGCAACTGTCTAGTTCAGGGGTTGGCAACTTTTTTGGGCAGAGTGCTAGAAACACCCCCAACTTCAACTTGTAAAATGTTGGTGTGCTGGGGTGGATGGCGGGGGAGCTGCGAGGGGCCCGATCCTTGTTGGAGCAGCGGAGCCCTGGGCCCTTCCCCGCCGTCTACCCCAAGGCACGAGTGCCGAGCAAAACGCCTTCACATGCCACGCACGGGCACCCGTGCCAGGGATCACCTACCCCATATCTAGTTGGTCTAATAAAAGATATCACCTCTCCCAAGAGTTGTGATTGCTTTTGCCTGTAGACCAACAGGGCTACAACCTGTTTCCCCAAATATCACAAGACTCGCAATAAAAACATGAGAGCTGGCGACACTGTATAACATTAAATGCATTGGAGGGCTTCAGACTGCGTATAAGAATAATATTGCAAGAATAACCTAGAAAAACCTGCTACCTAATAAAGAAACCATTAAATGAGACACTCTGGTAAAACTCCTGCTAAAATTGCTTTGCAAACTGATTCAGCCAAGGAGGAAAATTTAAGGTCTAACTTTAATAGCCAATTATACCAACTGGGAAAATACCTCGCATCCACTGTTCTGCGAACGAATGCTAAATGAACACCAGGGCTTCGGTGACAATGACCACAAAACCACTTCAACTGCACACAGAAAAAAGGACTTGACTTCTGGTACCATCTCAAAGTGCCACAGGATCAAAATTTACAATCAAATAACAGTCAAATCCCCTCTGAGTGGGAAAATCATACCCAGATCTCAGCAATATCAAACTCCGGAGTGGTCGAGCAAACAAAAGAGCGCTCGGCTCATGAGATCAATGCTGAAAATGTCATCTGCAAGACAAATCAAAGCCCATAACGAGTGAGACTGCTGCAGATTGCTGCTCAGAGAGGAGCAGAGATAAAGCAGGCTCCTGCAAGATACAAATTCAATTATTTTAAATGAGGGGTGAGCTGAACACAAAACACGGGACAAACAACGGGCAGGGCCTGCCGGCACCTGCGAGGTTTGCTCTTTTCTTTACCTTTTGACAACACTCGTATGGTTTATCACTATATTTAAACTGTGCCCCACAAGGAAGAAATGAATCTTGGTCCAATGGACAGAGCGCGCTATTTCTGTCTCTGCCTCTGATCAACTGCATGACCACAGGCAAGTCACTTTGCCTTCTTGTGCCTCTGCAGCCCTTTGCCTGTCTCAGTTACGGAGGTGCTTTCCTTAGTCGGGATCTTGGGCTGCGATACCGGTAAGGCAGGGACTGGCCTGAACGCGGCCAGGGTCACTGACAGCGGCAACCAACCAGCAACTGAAGAGCGGCTGACCGGCTCCTTCGCAT